TCCAGGCTCTGAGCTGTCAGCGCAGGGCCTGACGCGGGGCTCAAATCCACAGACCATGAGATCATGACCTGCCCGACGTCGGAAGCTTAACCAATTGAGCCACTCAGGTGCCCTATTTATTTGTTTTTAATGTTCATTTACTATATTTTGAGAGAGAGAGAGAGAGAGAGAGAGAGAGAGAGAGAGAGAGAGAGTACGAGTGGGGGAGAAGCAGAGAGAGAGAAAGGAGGAGAGAGAGAGAGAGAGAAAGAATTCCAAACAGGCTTCATGCTCAGTCCGACTTGGGGCTCGATCTCACAAATGTGAGATTGTGACCTGAATGGAAATCAAGAGTCAGATGCTTAACCAACTGAGCCACACAGGTGCCCAGGATAAGTGACAGGGATGAACTTCACAGTAGCTAAAACAGAAGAGGGAAAAGGAATTTATTAGTTTACCAACTGACTAGATAGAACTAAATTCTAAGATGGGATCATCCTAACTCTCCCCCATCTCCACTCCCTATTTCCCTCAACACCCCCACTTCCAACTCCTGCTCCCCCCTTCTTGCTCTGGTTTCCTTTGCTTACCTTCTCTGATGTGGTAGCAAAAGTGGCCTGGGGGTTCAAGTTTTCTACCATTGCATACTTACGTAGCCGGGAATAAACAATAAGGCCATCTCCCTTCTGCCATCTACATCAGGACTCTGGCTCAACTGAGGTCACATGCTCAGCCCCAACCCAATCTCCAAGTCCAGGGAATGGGGTATGGGGACTGCCCAGTCTGCCCCTTTCAATGAGAAGGACAAAACCATTGATCGATAGCCTTCCTACAAAAGCAGGGAGGTAAGGATGAGTATTTCCCAAAAGGGAATTATGTGATCCAGACCAAAGCTTTAATAATCATGTAAGAATAAGGATGATAATTGGCATGAACTATTCTAGGTATCTCTACCTCAATGCCTATGCTCTCCCCACTTCCCAGTTTTTTTGAGATATAATTGACAAATAACATTGTACTAGTTTAAGGTGCACAATATCCTGATCTGATACATGTATATATTGCAAAATGATTACCACAAAAGGTTAGTTACCATCCATCACCTCACAGAGATACCATTTTTTTTCTTGTGATAAGAACTTTCAAGATTTACTCTCAGCAAATTTTCCAATATACAATACACTATCATTAACTGTCGTCACTATGCTGTACATTACATCCCTGGAACGTATTTATGTTGTAACGAGAAGTTTGTACATTTTGACTGCCTTCACCCATTTCACCCCCACCCTCCACCTCTGGTAACCACCAACCTGTTCCCTATGAGTCTGGTTTTTGTAGATTCCACCTAAAAGGGAGATTACATACTATCTCTTTTTTCTTTCTGATTTATTTCACTTAGCGTAATGCCCTCAAAGCCCTCAAGATTCTCAAGGTCTATCCATGTTGTTGCAAATGGCAGGATTTCCTTCCTTTTTAATGGTTGAATAATATTCTATTGCACATATGTACTACGTTTTCTTTATCCATTCATCCTTCAATGGACACCTTGATTGTTTCCATGTCTTAGGCATTGTAAATAATGCTACAATAAACACAAGGGTGCAGATGCTGTGCTCTTTTTTAATTGAAATTTTTATGGAGATTATCATAGATTTAGCCAAAGTTTTAAGAAGGAATAGAGAGAGATCTTATGTACCTTTGACCTGGGTATATATGGTTAAATTTTTCATAACTATAGTACAACATTATAAGTAGTATACTGATAATGATAATTTACCAGTTTTATGCAGATTTTCCCAATTATATCTGTACTTATATGTATTCATTTCCATACATTTTATCATCTCATTTTCCTTTTTTTAAAATGTGTTTTTAAATTTATTGTTGAAAGTGAGAGAGAGACAGACAGACAGAACGTGAGTGGGGGAGAGGCAGAGACGGAGGGAGACACAGAATCTGAAGCAGGCTCCAAGCTGTCAGTACAAACACCAACACAGGACTCGAACCCATGAACTGCAAGATCATGACCTGAGCTGAAGGTGGATGCTTAACCGACGGAGCCACCCAGGCACCCCTCATTTTCCTTTTAATTGCATTGTATGACTTTCACGTCATGGGTAGACAATCAAATTCAACGCATGGTTTCATTAAATGACTAGAAATGGCCAATGTCTCTACTAAGATTGCTCTTTAACAAACCAGATCACGGTCATCGCAGTCATGTTTTCCCTGTGTGCAGAAATGAGCTCAGTGTTTTATAGTGGTCTGGGAAGAGGTAGCTGAAAACCTATCAGACAACAGTTGTTCTACCTACTACATATCATAAGGTGATGACTTAAGTATCTCTTAATAAATTATCTTCAATAAATGTTAGATGTGAGCATGCGCCATATTTTGTGGTCTCTGATACACTGAAAACTTTAACTTTTGGATAGAGGTAGGAATCAGGCCAAGAGAACTCAGAGCTAGGAAAATATTCTCCCATGGATGGAACAGGCCTGACCAGAGGAATAAGAGACTTTGGCAGGGAAGAGGAATCATTTGCAAAGTTCTGAAGTCAGAAGAACAAAGACAAGCACATGTGGAAAACTGGACCCATGTTTGGTTTGGTGAGAAATCACCAAAGGCTGGGAAAGCTGGTAGGACAGGGATGCCTGGAAAGGTAAGAGCAGGAAACGATGGAGGTCCTCCACCCATCCATAGATAGTTGTGCAAGCGTCCTGGGGGATTTAGGCAGAGAAAAATACCCATGAAGTCATCTTTGACATTTGCTGACATGTCTATGGTCTCTGGAAGCCAGGTGGTGGTGTTTTCCTCCTCCCTCCATTCCTTCCTTCCTTCCTTCCTTCCTTCCTTCCTTCCTTCCTGCCTTCCTTCCTTCCTTCTTTCCTCCCTCCCTCTTTCCCTTCCCTACCCTTAAAAAATTGAGATATAATTGACATACAATAAACCGTTCATATTTAAAGTACACAATTTGATAAATTTAGACATATGTATGCACCCAGGAAACCATCACCACAATCAAGATGGTAAACATGTCCTTCATCCCCGAAAGTTTCCATGTCCCCCTTTCTAATCCTTCCCCCACCTGCTGCAGGTAACCACTGATCTATCTGTATCGCTATAGATTGGTTTGCATTTTCTAGAATTTTAAATATATGAATCATACAGCACACACTGGTTTTTGTCTGGCTCTTTCATTCACCATAATTATTTTGAGACTCAACCATGCTGTTGTGTCTATCAACATTCCGTTTTTTTAAGACTTTATTTTTGGGGTGCTTGGGTGACTCATGTAGTTAAACGTCCAATTCTCAATTTCGGATCAGGTCATCATCTCAGCATTGTGAAATTGAGACCCACGCTCAATGTGGAACCTGCTTAATATTCTCTCCCTCTCTTTATCTCTGTCTCTCTCTCTCCCTCTGCCCCTCCCCACTCTCTCTATTTGAACAACAGTACTTTTAAGTAATGTCTACACCTAACACGGGGCTCAAACTCACAACCCTGAGATCAAGAGCCCCATTCTCCACTGACTGAGCCAGCCAGGCACCTCTCAAGTTCATTCCTTTTAAGGCACTTAAAAAAAATTGTTTAAATGTTAATTTATTTTTGAGACAGAGTGGGGAAGGGGGTGGGGGAGAGAGAGGGAGAGAGAGAGAATCCCAAGCATGCTCCACACCCATGAACTGTGAGATCATGACCTGAGTTGAAATCAAGAGTCAGATGCTTAACTGACTGGGCCACCCAGGTGCCCCCCTCTCAATGGACCCTGTAATGGCTGAGTGGTATTCCACCGTGTGGCTACATCCGAGCTTGCTTAGCCATTTGTCCAGGGCTTGCTTTATTGACCAGGGAAACCTTTGCCAAAGCTGAGAGCCCTAATGTCCAGCCACCCTGGGTTCCCCATGAGATCCCCTCAGTGCTATGCTCCCTCACCATCTTCACCCCTTCCCACTCTCAGCGTCCTCCAGGTAACGAATGCGAGGAACACATCTGCATTCCTTTTCCAAGGCTGCTGTAACAATTACAGGTGGCTTACAACCAAAGGAACTTGTTCTGCCACGTTCTGGAGCCCAGAGGTCTGAGAGCAAGGTGTTGGCGGGGCCTCCTCCCTCTGAAGGCTCTAGGGGAGGATGCCTTTGTGACTCTCCTAGCTTGTGGGGGCTCCAGGCATTCCTTGGCTTGTGGCCGTATCACTTCAATCTCTGCCTCCATCTCCACATGGTCTGCTCCCCTGTTTTCCTGTGTCTCCTCCTTTTCTGTCTCTTACAAGAAAAGCTATTATTGAATTTAGGGCCTATCCTGATCCAGGATGGTCTCGTTTTGAGATCTGCACTTTAATTACACCTGCAGAGACCTTTATTCCAATTAGGGTCACTCCACTTCTCTGGCTTCCTTTCCTTCTGCTTTCCATAGTTCCTCCTGAACATCGGGTCCGATGATAGACCCAGTTTCAGGCTGTTTCTCCCAGCTTCTGAACTAAGTGTGATCAGGTGCCATGAAGAGCATCTACCCAGCCCTAGAGTAAGCCCTTTCTCACTCCCTCATACAGAAATGTCCCATTGTTCCCCATGGTGTGCATTACCCTTTGTTGTGACAAGTATTAGACCCGCTTTGTTCAACTACAGGTGCTGGAATGGGCTGACCAGTGCCCCTTCCCCAGGTATGTCCACCTGGAACGTCAGAATGGAGGTTGGCCAACCTGGAAGGTCAGAGGCTGGGACAGATCCTCTTTAACCCACCTCAATCACATTTAGCTTAGACGTTGGGACAGACTACCCTTTATATGGCTGGTCATTGGACTGTGATGGAGCAGCCAGGGAAGCAGAAGGAAAGGAAGCCAGAGGGCAGTTGTGACCAAGAATATGCACTCATCTGGGTACAGAGGGCCCTTGTCTGCTGGGGCCACCACACATACAGGTTCCTAGCATGCAGTAGGTCCTGTTTAAATACTTAGTGGATGAACAGATAAGGACCTCAGACCTAATTTTTTTTCTCTCTCATTACTCCTGCAGGAGGGGTCCCATTGGAGAAGCTGGCAGCCTATAGCTCATCCAAGGCAGCTCTGACCATGTTTTCAGCAGTGATGAGACAAGAGCTTTCCAAATGGGGAGTTAAAGTCTCTGTCATCCAGCCTGGAGGCTTCAAAACAAGTAAGTGTCTCAGTCCAGGAGCCCCTCAGCGTTCATCCTGGACGGGATTCTGAGGGTCCTTTGTTTTGACAGAGATCAAACCAAACTCCTCAGTGGTTGGCCAAAGAGGAGTTGGGATAGATGGGCCTCTTTTAATAATAAAAGGGCAGGGTGCCCGGGGGGCTCAGTCGGTTGGGTTTCTGACTTCGGCTCAGGTCATGGTCTCATAATTCGTGAGTTCAAGCCCCCGCATTGGGCTCTGCGCTGACAGCTCAGGGCCCGGGGCCTGCTTCAGAGTCTGTGTCTTTCTCCCCCGTTCACACTCTGTCACTGTCTCAAAAATAAAAATAAACATTAAAATAATAATAATAAAAGGGCAAGTGCCAGGTTCTTCAGCGTACAGTTGTTCCCCTGCATCGGTTCCACAAAGGAATTTAGTTTTGATGTCATATAGTTTTCTTTTTTTAAATTTTTTAAATGTTTTTATTCATTTTTGAGAGAGAGAGAGACAGAGACAGAGCATGAGTGGGGGAGGGGCAGAGAGAGAGGGAGAACAGAATCGGAAGCAGACTCCAGGCTCTGAGCCATCAGCACAGATCCCGACACGGGGCTTGAACCCATGGACCACAAGAACGTGACCTGAGCTGACATCAGGTGCTTAATTGACTGAGCCCCCCAGGAGCCCCTTTAAAGATTTTATTTCTAAATGATCTCTACATCCAATGCGGGGCTCAAACTTTCAACCTCTGAGACCAAGAGTTACATGCTGTACAGACTGAGCCAGCCCGGTGCTCCTTATTTTTATTTTTAAAATTAATTCATTTTTTTAAGATTTAAAAAAAAAATTTTAAGTAATCTCGACACCCAATGTGGGGCTCAAACTCACAACCCTGAGCCCAAGAGTCGCATGCTCCACTGACTGAGCCAACCACACACCCCACCCCACACTCGTTTTTTTTAAATTGAGAAATATATACACACAGAGTTTAACAAATTACTTTAAAAACTCATGCACTTAACAGCCAGATCAAAAAATGAAGCATTGCCAGTGCCCAGAAGTGCCCATATGATCTCCGTCCAGTCCTAGTCTTCCCCATCCTCAACATATAATCACTTTCTTATTTTTTGTAGCAATTGTTCATTTGCTTTTCTTTGCAGTGTTACATACATGCATGCATCACAAACAATAGGATTTGGCTTTACTGGTTATGGAACTTTGAATGGAATCAGCATGTATGTATTCTCGTGTCTGCTTTTCTCACTCAACATTGCTTTCACAGTTCATCTGTGTGGTTTGTACCTGCAGCTCACTCATTTTCAGTACTCTGAACGTGCCACGATTTTTCTATCACTGATGGGATATTTGGGTCACCTTGGGACAATTATGAACAATTCAGCTATGAACCCTTTGGCATGTGACACTTTCGGTGCTGTACATGTATGTGATTTTTCCAGTGTCACATTCCCAGGAGTGGAATGACTAGTTCATGGGGTTTAATCGTCTTCAGCTTTCGTGGATAATACAAAACCATTTTAAAACATATTATTCCAGGGGTGCCTGGCTCAGTTGGTTGAGCGTCCAACTCTTGTTTTCAGCTCAGGTTCATGATCTCAGGGTCATGAGATCAAGCCCCATGTTGGGCTCTGCACTGAGCACGGAGCCTGCTTAAGATTCTCTCTCTCTCTCTCTCTCTCTCTCTTGCTCTCTCTCTCTCTCTGCCTCTCTCCCCTGCTCATGCTCTCTAAAACAAACAAAACAACAAACAACAATAATAATAGTAATAAAATAAAATAAATATTAAAAAAATATTGTTCTAGAGGCATCTGACTAGCTCATTCAGAAGAGTATGTGACTTTTGATCTCGGGGTCTTGAGTTTGAGTCCCATGTTGGGTGTACAGGTTACTTAAATAAACAAAACTTTAAAAAGTTTTTAAAAAATATTGTTCCAATGTATACTCCTGTCCTTCCCATATAGGTCCTAATCTGTATGACAGCCCTGAGCGGTATGCTTAATTGACATCATTGGGCAGGTGTGTGGGGTGGGTGATACATACAGGTGGGCATGCAACACACTTTGGTGATTGGCAATCTGAAAGCAGATCTCTAGGTGCAGTGCTCAGTCCTCTCTTTCTATGAGGCTGCCCTCAGTCTAAAGGTGATCCTGATGGGCTCTCTCAAGGCAAGAGGCCAGACAGTGGAAGGCTGAGGACTCAAGTTTGGAGAAGGATGCTCAAAGCTGGGGTGGGGTGGAGGGTGGGGGACACAAGAAGAGGAATCTTCAGAGAGAAAAAGAGCTTCTGAAGACATTCAAGGAGACATACCATATTTTTTAGTTCCTGCAATAGAAATAGCTAAGATTTCATGATTAGCAGGTTTTAAGCACTTTACATACACAATTTCACTTAATCCTCACCTAGAAGGTAGGCATTGTAATGATGTGGTTTGAAGTGTTGGGGTTCAGAACCAAAGGTCATGAAAGAATTCTGAAAAAGAAAGTTTTCAGTGCAAAAAGGTGGTCTTATTAAAGCACTGGACCTGTGGGCAGAAAGAGCTGTACTCGGGTTGTGAGGAATGACTGATTATATACTTCGAAGTTAGGGAGGTAAGGACAAAGGAAGTATCCAAAAGGATTTTCATTTGTTAAAGACTTATAGGGGGGCGCCTGGGTGGCTCAGTCGGTTGAGCGTCCGACTTCGGCTCAGGTCACGATCTCACGGTCCATGAGTTCGAGCCCCGCGTCAGGTTCTGGGCTGATGGCTCAGAGCCTGGAGCCTGCTTCCGATTCTGTGTCTCCCTCTCTCTCTGCCCCTCCCCCGTTCATGCTCTGTCTTTCTCTGTCCCAAAAATAAATAAACGTTAAAAAAAAAAATTTAAAAAAAAAAAGACTTATAGGATCCTGGAGATCTGGCTATCATCAAGCTAAGGTTGCTTTTGGCTTCTAGCAAAGTATTAACATTAAGATGGAGACTTCCAGGAGGAATGGGATACTCTGCCTGCCTTAAGTATTTTATTTGTCAATGGGCTGCAGGTTAGAAGGCAACTTAATTTTATGTACATTTCTTTTGCCTTGTTTTCCACATCATTCCCCCCTGAACAATTTTGACCCTTAAATCTTTAAGGTTGTTGAGGGTGGAAGGTCTTACCTTCTGTAACTTCTTCCTACTGAGTAGGGGCATAGAGATGTCCCTACCTATGGGTCAACATTGGTCAGGTGGGGAATTTCTATATAGGAGTTACTAAAGGCCAAGGTAGCCAATCCAAGGTAGACAACATATATAAACCTCCTTGAGTAGAAAGGATCATTTATCAGCTGGAAGTTACTTCCGTGAAGGAGTCTTGGCACCAGGCAGGGAGACATCAGAGAAGACAAGAAAATAAGGTTAATATTATTTGGAGAACGGGAAGCCTGAATAAAAGACTTTTGATAGTTGCCCAAAATGTTCCTCTAGTCCAGGAGTTTAACCAATCACTAAAGGAAAGAGACCGATAGTTTAATGTGCCAATTTGAGTATTTATAGCTTTTAGCAATCCTGCTACATGCTTGTGATATCTGGAATATATGTACAACATTCTGTTTTTATGATAGCACATGTTCCAGCCTGTGCAGTAGTTAAAATATCTAATGCCATTTGGAGAGTCATTTATGGCCTTAATTGTGTAGCAAGTGGCATTAGCCATCACCTGCTGTTTTGTTTAGCAAGCAGTCAGGTAATTAATAAGAGGCACCTTTATGGAAACAAAAGAAAAATATAAGTTAATGGGTAGAGCAAATTATAAACCCAGTGTCTGAGTCCTGAGTGCTGCCAGGGAGAAGATTTTTAGATGTCAAGCTCTAAACATCCTCAGATAGAGTGGAAACAGGTGGCTGAATAGTATGGGTTTTTCTGGTTTGTAATTCAAAAGTCTCTGCTGATCCTTTTGAATGGCCCATATAAATGGGGGAAAGGAAGATGAGAAAGAAATGTACACCATCATTTTCATTTAAAGAGAAGTCTGAAGTCTTCCACAGGTTCACAAGAATAAGAAGTCACCCTTAGCTGGCACACTGGATTCCTATGAGGAATGTAGAGGGTTGTTGTTGTTGTTGTTTATTTTATTTTAGAGAGAGAGAGCACAAATTGGGGAGAGAGGCAGAGGGAGAAAGATGGAGTCTTGAGCAAGCTTCATGCTCAACTCAGAGCCTGATGTGGGGCATGATCCCTTGACCCTGGAATCATGATATGAACCGAAATCAAGAGTTGGATGTTCAACCAACTGGCTGAGCCACCGAAATGCCCCAGGCAGATACAGATTTAATTTTTGAGTCCACGAGGAATGTCCTTCTAATTTTATGGCTGTGGGAGTATGATCCAGTAGGGGCCTTTTCATTTCAGAATTAAATCTCCTGCTGTATTAGACTTTCAATTCTTTAAATAAACCTTGTCTCCTGGGTTTATATGGAGTGGGTTGCTAGTAACTGTCAGATCAGGTTTAGGGAGGATATAGTTTGCATATTCATTTAAAGAGATTTATGAATTAAAACCTGGCCTCAAGTAAATAATTTCAAAATTTTTTAACATTTATTTATTTATTTATTTATTTGTTTATTTAAATTAAGAGTTTTTTTTTTTAACGTTTATTTATTTTTGAGACAGAGAGAGACAGATCATGAACAGGGGAGGGTCAGAAAGAGGGAGACACAGAATCTGAAACAGGCTCCAGGCTCTGAGCTGTCAGCACAGAGCCCGACGCGGGGCTTGAACTCACAGACTGCAAGATCATGACCTGAGGTGAAGTCGGCCACTTAACCAACTGAGCCACCCAGGCGCCCCAACATTTATTTATTTTTGAGAGACATAGAGACAGAGCACAAGTGGGAGAGGGGCAGAGAGAGGGAAACACAGAATATAAAGCAGGCTCTAGGCTCTGAGCTGTCAGCACAGAGCCTGACATGGGGCTTGAACCCACGAAAAGTGAATAATTTAATAAAACACTATAGTCTTTACCTACTGGTAGGTACCTATAGTGAGAAAAGGCTTT